AACATCTTTACCCCAAACCCAAACCCAAACCCAACCCCAACCCCGACCCCAACCCCAAACCCAAACCCAAACCCAACCCCAAACCCGACCCGAACCCCAGTCCCAAACCCAAACCCGACCTCAAATGCAAACGGAAACCCATACCCAAACCCAAACCCATACCCATACCCAAACCCATAACCCAATCCCAACTGAGATGTGTTTGGTTTTTAAAAAGAAATTTTTAATGTTATCTTTTAGTGTGGTTTTAAAAAAATGATATAGTAAATAATTTTAATCTTAAGATATGAAAATAAGCAGATCTATGTTTAAATATGATAAGAAGTAAATAGTTTCAATTTTTTCATTCGTAATTTTCATATTTTAAGATTATTAGTATATTACAGTGCCTTATGATGTTAAGATACTCATAGGAAATCTAGGAATATATTATTGGTTTCAATAATAAAGTCAGAAGACGATATAAGCCTTGAAAATTATTAACTAAACTTTTTAATCTTTGAACATGTTTAGGCTAGCCAGGGCTGTAAAACCATGGCTTAGAAATATCGAAGAGACTTAAAACTTGGTAATTTGCTGCCAAACTAATCTTGCTCTGATTATGCTAAATTGTATATACTAGGTTTTTGAATTTAGGTGCTTCAAAAATTAAAAAAAATATTACAAAAGATTCTAAGATGTATTCTATTTTTAACAACTCGGGAAAAAACTATGATACTAGCATAAAAATATAAAAATAACAAATTATGTTAAAAGGCTACTCCTTAATAGATAAATTGATAAAAGCACCCTTAAGTGAATTTACTTGTCTTAAGTAAAATGTACCATTATTAGAAAATGAAAATTTTAATTAAAATATACCTCTGAAAAACATAGATCATAACATATTTAAATACCCTTTCCTTATACGACGGCTTTCCATTTTTAGTTAGATTTATCTGAAATACTCCATTATCAAAAGTCTCAAGTGACTTTATAAAACATTACTTTAAACTTTTAATTGTAACAAAACTAATAATATTGTGTTCTTGATTATGTTACATTTATAACAGGTCTCGAATTAATTATGACTTATGTCAGCAATACCTTAAAAATTGATTGCTATTTTTAGAATTCAAATATGAATCAATAAACAATACTATAATATACAAGTAAGTTTTATCAAATTTGACGAAATCCATAAAGCCCATTATATCTTTGATTAAAAACTAAAATTTATTTTTTATTGAATATAGTTACTTGTTTATCTATTCGATATAGTTGAAAAAAAAAAGAAATATAAATACGCAGTACCTTATATAGGTTAAATTCATATGGTTTCAATTCTATAATTTCAATTCTAACATTTTATAAATTCTCAATTCTTTAGATTTATTCCATATTTCTCCATTCAATTTAACTATCAACAAGAGTCTATTATATACTGTTGAATGTGAATTTCTTTCGAATGTATGATTTGAAAAACTTAAGACAAATAGCTTTAACATATGATTAATATGATATTAATTTTTTGGGCAAAACATATTAAGTATAATTCTATATATAATTTTAATATATATACTAACGTTAATTGTAACTAGTGATGATTTTCAAAACCATCTTTTCGATATTCTTTCTCTTTTATTTTTACATCTAGGTATTCTTTTTATAAGCAAATTTTAGATTCCCATCTATTGAATACGTGCTTAAATTTCTCATTTACATTTCAACAACAATTATTGCTAAAGGAATAGGTGTTTAATCTCTATAATCCCCTTATTAATTAAATCAATATCTAATATAAGTTCTTTGGTTGCTCTATCTCTTGATCTTTGATATCTAGCATGAAACACAGCAGCCATAAATAAATTTTAGGGAATTTCCTCAAGCATAAAGTAATTGTAAATACATTATAAATGTTCATATTTATATTTAGTGTGTGATAAATGTTTAATAACTAAATCCTTTTTGAATATCACTTAAAATTACAATTGCCAATCTTCAATTTTGATTTCTTCAACTCTTTTGTTAATTTAGAAATTAAAAGCAGAAATAGTTTCTTTTGATTTCAATTTTTCATAATCAAATTCATTAGCTATTCTCTTCCTAAATTCTCTTAAAATTTTCTACTCATGCTTGTGCTCTTAATTACAAAAGATCTTAATATAATTTTTAAAAGTCATGTTTTTCAACATTCTCCCTATAGTTTCAACCATAAATCTATCGAGTATCATTTTTATTTATTCCTATTATAATTGATCCTTTTTGCAAGACAGAACTAGTAAAGCCTTGATTGTATCCTAACATTAAGTATTAAGATCCTTATTAAAATCAACTAGGCTTTAGATTGGATTTTCAATTAACTTTTTAATAAAATTCTCTTAATTTTACTCATAAGCCAAAGTATATGATTCATTGATTAAACTTATCATCTCCATTGTCCATTCAGACTTTGGTTATTTAATCAAATAAAATAGAGTATTAGCTAATAAGGAGGTATATGAATGATCAAAACACACATCTGCATTTTCACACGTTACAAATGTCATTATTGTGTGAAATAATAAAGATCTGAAGAATGGTTTAAGATCCTCATTCTTCTTTGTGTACAAAGGAAGAATACAATTTACCTTCTCCTCTTCTCCATTTCCAACTTAAAACTTTAATTCATGTTAAGCGCTCTCTATTAAGGAGACTGAATCTAAGAATTTGTGGATCCTAACCAGAGATAAAATTTCAATCTTATATGGATCAATCATGCTTGCATTTGTTCTTTTCACATACAATCCATAACCAATTATCGGAAATGCAGTCACTAATTGATATTGAGATGAACAATTTTCTAATCCCGAGATTAAATCTTCTTCTTATAATATCTCCTTCTAACTTTATAATGTCAAAATGGATCTAACTCCATCATTACCTTCAAATTTATGTTATTTAAGACACTCAATGAACTATATTTTGGCCTGTGAGAATTCTTCTATTGATAATCCTGCGAATTTAAGAGCATTTTTGTGAAATTTACCGACTTTAGTTCCAATTTTCAATCTGTCAGCTGCATCCTTATCACTTAATTTATTTAATGTAAATTCTTGGGTGAACAACTTCAATTCTGCAACAAGATCTAACAGTTATGTATCCTTTAATGAAGATTCTTACACTCTTTAAGCAAAGGTTTTTTGCTTCTTTTACCCTTAAGGATTTGGAATTAAATTAATTAGTCTTTCTAATTCCTAAAGAGCCATTCGTGCTTCCAATTCTACCTTTGTATTCAATGAAAGCAATTAAATATTCTATAGCCAGTAAGATGCTATTTCTATCATCATAGCCTCGGAGGGATATGAAGGCTGGAGCAAACATCCATTAAAAGTGATTTCATAATCATAGCTTCCTATCCAACTGCCAGACCAAAACATCGTTGTTTCCATTTTACTCCAGGGGAAACAAAAGCAAGGAGTAGTTTCATATTATTATCTTGGTTTTATTAAAGAGCTGACAGATTCAAATTCCTCTTTAAATATAGAATCTAAGAACTCTTCTCTTGATTTATTTGATGAATCTTAGACCGGAACTATGAACACGGGAGGTATTGAAAAATTGCCTGTATGATAGAGTGCTCTAAGACTCATTGAAACACGAGTTGGAAATTCATTTCCTATCCCCAAGCAAATGAAATTTAGATTTTTTACCTTAGGCATATTTTGTTATATTGCTTACTCATCGTAACTACCATATCCATCTGAAACAAACACTATTGTTAGATCACTTGTAATCTCTCTTTTTTAAATTTCTAAATTTAAGGCAACAAATGCGCTTGTTATATTTGTACATTCTCCTCCATAATAATATATATTTGGAATTATATTTTCATTCGGCTGCAATACTTTAACGTTTGTATCAAAGGT